TCGAGAATTCTCAACGTTGAGGGAAAGAATGTAAAGTGTACATGTAGAATTGAAAAATTGACCGAGGGGAGGTTTGATAGTAATTCGATTTTCTCTAATAAATGGTGTTTCACGAGGACAAATTACTGTAACAGGAAGTAATGGAAATTTTATAATATTGATAACTCTTGAAGTTGGGGGAAATATTGTGAAGTGTAGAATTGAGAAACTGGCTGAAGAAAGGTTTCATTGTAATTTTAATCAGCTATTTTACTCATCCAATTACCCTGATCGAAAAGAAATGGAAATTTCATGGTATTGAGAATTCTTAGAGTTGATGGAAAGGTTGTAAGGTATAAAACTGAAGAACTGAAAGTGTTTCGTTGCAATTCGATATTCCCTAACCAAAGCGTTCCTCGTGAATACAGAAATTTTTACAGTTACTATAAAACAATCGAACAACAACATGTCCAGTAGTTTGTCAAAAATAGGTGCATCAACAGAAGAAGGCAAAATCGAGCATCGAAAATGAATCTTGATCATCAAACGAACGTCGCGCGGTGATTATAAGTGCGGCAAAAATTTGTCAGGCCGTGCAAACAAATGTCGAAAAAGTTTACATCGAAAGCGGTTCGCGGTAAATTCAGGCTTTATTTGTCGGTCGACCGCGTTCCGGGGAAAAAATAGTAATTATCGACGAAATGACTGTGTGTTTGTGGAGGGGGGAGAAAAAAAAAAGCGAGAAAAACTTGGAATTTCTACGGGAGAATAATTTCCCCTCCTCTTTCGCCCTCAAACGAGTGTTTAACACGGCCGCATTAATTTGTTTATCGCCGCTTCGTCGAGCAGTCGTCGCAAATAGCGGACTAATTAAAAATATCCGATCAACCAGCCCGAGCTCGTACAATTATCGTCCTGGGGAAAAAAAGCAATTGAACGGGTTTTCGAAGGCGTAATACGCGAAAATGTGTAAAATGTATTTCTGCTCCGAGTTAGTTCGCGGTCTTTTGTTGATTGTTCGATAAATTCCTGATTCAGTGAAAATATTTGCTCGGTAATTTAATTGTACAACGGTGGTTCGTTCGAGGGATTGAGAATTTCTTCATAATTATTTGGATTTCAACGTCATACTTTGCATTGGAATTGTAACAATAATTAGATTATCCTTTGAGGATAAAGTTTCTTTATTACGACTCGGTTTCAGCATAAAATAACACTCTGTCGAGCATTAAATCGCTGGATTTGATGGACAAATCTTTGATACGAAATTTCAACTGTTTAAAGGAAAATTACATTTCACTAGGTATCGAGGATAGGAAATTTCTGATTTTTTTCAAAATGAAATGAAGTTCCATTCCTCGATTTTCCTGGTTTCTCTGAAACTGTTACTGAAGATAGAAAAAGAATCAGAGATGCAAACTCGTAATTACTCTACTCGAACCGAAAATTCGTCACTTCTAAGCGCTGAAATCTCCTCGAAAACAAACGAACTTTCAAACAACCCTTTTAACAGCCCCCATCAATCTCGCAAAAACCATTCTATCAGGCTGCCTCGAGCAGAATTCAACAACACTGGCCAAAAGCAATATTGCTCGAATCCGTGGCAATAGTTTCGCGTGAAATCACTGGCCAGCTACTGCCGGTGCCACTTAAAACAATAATCCGGTCCCTCGTTTCTGTCGACGCAGAGAGAGTGAGAGAGAGAGAGAGAGGAAGGGAGCGAATCAAGAAAAAAGAAAAAGAGCAACCATAAAACGTGATAAAAACACTCTTTATTTGCAGTGTCGCCATGGCCCGTCGAAGTGTGCTGTCGTAAACGAATTCCAGATCGCGGGAATTTCTCATGCGCTTGGCACGCGTACCGAAGCGCGAATAGACGCGATAAAACTGCGCGAACAAGCGGAATTACGTTGGTCCAGATGGTGTGGAAAGGGTTGCGAGCGACGAAAGGATTGCGTCAAAGGCGTCAAAGAAGCGGTTCCAGACATTAAACCGGCGAGCGCCGGAGCCATTGCTCCTGTCGACAGCGAGGTAATCGAATTTTACCACGGACCCGCTGTTTCAATGGCGTTTGACTGGCGTCGATGCATGTTTAAGGATTGAGGAAGTGTGGCTGCTTTTTGGGGGAGAGGAAAGCTCGAATGTGCTCACGACTTGTATTGGGATCGAGTCTTTGGAGGCTAGAATTGAAGGGTTCGCGTGAATTCCATGGTGTGAGGAATTGAAAGTGGGAAAAGAAGTTTCGTTGATGGGAAGATTGAGTATTATGGAATTTCTAGGGTAGACAGTGGAAATGATATTGAAGGGTTACAAATCGCAACGTTTCAAGTATTAAAAGGTACAAAAGAGTCAAAAAGTCACGAGAAGACAAAATTAATATTTTGAGAATTTATTGATGTAAAATAATTTTTAAAACAAGATTGAGCTCTGGAAAGAGAACTTGACTATTTTTGTTATGGAGTTTGTAGGATAGATAGTGGAATTGAAATTGAAGGGTTGTATTATAAATCACAACGTTTCAAGTAGCAAAAAGTACCTTCAATTTTCAGACGAAGGGAAAAATGAATATTTTGAGCACTTAGTGGTACAAAATTTTTGAAACAATAGTAATAATAACTTTATTCTGATTTATTGGGTTATAAGGCGTCACGGTTGTTTTTTTTCAACCCAATGTGGAATGGGATGAAGATTGTAATGAATATGCTTAGTGTGGTTGTTGTTCGGTTATGAGTTGCTTTATCGTGGAGCCGTGGTTCGGCTTCTTGTTACAAGGCTCCTTTCTTGACTGATTCTATGTTAAACAGGGCTGCTTATATATATTTTTCCGTAGCTGCAGGTTCGAGGAAAGGGCCAATCAACGCCTTTCCCGAAATAAGGTCCATTTCGCGAGTCTCTATTGGCAGGTAAAGACCGGCGTCGTAGGTCAACGTGGGGGGTCGTCGATCGCGTCAATGTTTCGTGTTTGAGGATACGACACTGATTGTGGAATGCTAAGATCGCTAATATCGACAGCAATTATGTTGAAAATTGGACCGTTGCAACATTGGGTTTGAAATCTTTCAATTTTACTTACTGGACTGATAACAGAACCCACAATACTAGAATACGTGGTAGAAATGGTAGTTTCTAAATTGTGACGATTAATTTTAAAGTTGCCTTTAAATTCGATGAAAATTTTGAAGCCACGTGGTCACCACGTTAATTACCATTAGATGAATATCGATGCAGTATTTAATAGTTCCTCTTTGTAGATACAACGTTCCACGATATTTCCGTGATATTTGTAAATCTAGATTTTCACAACATTTCTATAATACCATTTGAATGCAAAACTTTTTAATTGTTCCACGCCTATAAAATCCTACAATATTTCTATATTTAATTTCCCCTCAATTTTATTCTCCGGTATCTCATCAAAAACTAACAAATTTGCACCGGACATGTGAGAAACTGATGGTTATTTTATTCATAAAGCTGCGAAACAATTCATCGAATCCGCGTATATCTGTTCGTATTTGAACGTTATACTTCCTGCTAAAAGAACAATATTCTATTCGAGGGTTATCAATCGTGGTCAATTACCGGTGTTTCCAATTTCGCGATACCTTTCGTCGATTCCGCCAATTAGCGAGCTAAAGAAGTCGTCAAGGGCGCAGTAAAACGGGCGTAAAGTCGGTGATTGTTTCACGTGGCAATCTTTCAGGCATTTCCGCTGGCTGTTGAATCTCTTATCGTACGGGAAAACGTGCATTGCTAGAAATCTTTACTCCCTGTTTACGACTCGACGCGAATAGGCTTATGGGTTTATGGCAAATCGTAAACACGTTCGCGGAACTTTCCGTCCACTGTCGGAGAAATATCGTCCACTAACCATTGTATTTCTGTAAATTTGAAGAAGAAGAAAATACAAAAAGAATGAAACTACAGTTTGCAATTTACGGCCGAGGGGATAATTCGAAGGAAAATTCAAATTGAATTCATAATGAATCTTCACTGTGGTAAAAGTTGGTGGAATTTAAGTCGGTGTGATACATGGATTATAGTAAGGTTCAGGACAAAAGTGAAACATGAGGTTGCATTTCCTTGGACTACGCCAACTTCCAGCTTCGCGAACTTTCCACGTCCACTGGTAAAGTTTAAGAAACATTTCCAGTCGAGTGCACCAGTCAAGTATACCGCAACTTTCCAACGCTGATCTTCTTAAAATAGAGACTCGTGCAACGATATTACATTCGAAACTTCTAATATCGTGCATCTAACGATAATTAGTATGGTGTTCACATGGCTTCAAATTTTTTTGTCAAATTTAAGGTAAACTTCTCTCTATCTCTCTCTCTTTCAACATTCTATTATAGTGTACTATAATGGGTTTACAGCCATGAATATATAAAATAAAATAAATAAACGAAAAACTTAAAAATTTGTCATCTTCAATCATTACAAAAACAGAGGCAAGAGAAAGAATCTTTAAATAAAAAATAAATTGTCAATGCACAGAAAAGGAAAATTTCAAAGTGAATCGTTTAAGACAAGGCTGGAACAGAATATTTCTCAACGTTGGCTCCAGTGAAATAAATAGGAAATTTAAATATTTATCATCTCCAGTTATTACAAAAACAGAGGCGAGAGAAAGAATCTTTAAATAAAAAGTAAATTATCGATAAAAGGAAAATTTCAAAGTGAATTATTCATGATAATAAGACTGGAATAGTGTATCTCTTAACATTGGTTTGAATAAAAAGGTGCTTTTCCATCTGGAAATACGAAATCGTAGGATAATGCGGCGTCGCGCTATTTTTTCACCAGGCTCACTTCGCTCGATTGTT